TCTCTCTCTCTCTCTCTCTCTCTCTCTCCCTTCCTCCCTCCTTCTCTTCTTCCTCCTCCCCTGCTCACACGCATGAGTGATCTCTTTCTTTCTCAAAATATATAAAATTAAAAAAAAAAAGAAGGGGTGCCTGGGTGGCTCAGTCGGTTGAGGGCCAAACTTCAGCTCAGGTCATGATCTCACAGTTTGTGGGTTCCAGCCCCACATCAGGCTCTGTGCTGACCACTTACTCAGAGTCTGGAGCCTGCTTTGGATTCTGTGTCTCCTTCTCTCTCTGCCCCTCCCCCGCTCATGCTTTGTCTCACTGTTTCTCAAAAATAAATAAATGTAAAAACAAAAATTAAAAAAAAAGGAATGAAATCTTGTCATTTGCAATGATGCAGATGAAGCTAGAGTGTATTATGCTAAGCAAAGTAGTCAGAGAAAGATAAATAACATATGATTTCATTTATATGTGGAATTTAAGAAACTCAACAGATGAACATATGGAAAGGAAGGGGGAAAAAAGAGAGGGAAGCAATCCATAAGAGACCCTTAACTATAGAAAACTGAGGGTTGAAGGAGAGAGGTGCATGTGGGATGTGGGTGGGGGGGTGGGGTAAATGGGTGATGGATATTAAGGAGGGGCACTTGTGATGAGCACTGAGTGTTATATGTAAGTGATAAATCACTAAATTTTACACCTTAAACCAATTTTACCATATGTTAACTAACTAGAATTTAAATAAAAACTTGAAAAAATGAAGGCATATAGTAGAAAAAATATGGGAGAGACAAGGCCCACTAGTCATTAAAAATAGCAATAAATAAATTTAACTACATAAAAATTAAAATTTCCTACAAGGAAATACAGGGGTGAATATACCTTTTTGAATTCATGTTTTCATGTTCTTTGGGTAAATACCCAGTAGTAGAATTACTGGATCATAAAAAATTTCCATCTTTAATTATTTGAGGAACCTCCATACTGTTTTCCACAATGGCTACAAGAGTTTGCATTCCCACCAACAGTGTACAAGGGTTCCTTTTTCTCTACATCCTCTGTAACACCTGTCATTTCTTGTCTTTCTTATTCTCACCATTCTGACAGTTATAAGGTGATAATCTCATTATTTAATGTAGCCTTATTTACAATATCTAATATACAGAAGCAACCCAAATGTCCCTGCATAGATGAATGGATACAAAAGATGTGGTGTATATATATATGATGGAATATTACTGAATGGATACAGAAGATGTGGTATATATATACAATGGAATATTTCTTGGCCATAAAAAGAATCAGATCTTGCCATCTGCAACAACATGGATGGTCCTAGAGAGTATAATACTAAGTGAAATAAGTCAGATATAAAAAGACAAATATCATATGATTTTCCTCATATGTGGATCATGAGAACTAAGTAATGGATAGAATTGCTAAATCATTATATTATATAGCTGAAACTAATATAATACTGTATGTTAATTATACTTCAACAAATAAATGCTTAAATAAAATTTTCTGTAAGAAAATCTATTATAAATCAGTAAAAAATGGGCAGTAACCCAATAGAAAAATTGTCAAATAAGCAGGAAATAAACAGAGAAATAAAGATGACTTACAAAGGCACAAAAATATGTGCCTTCTTCATAACTAGATGCAAGTGGAAACATTTCATATTTTATCTTATCAGAAAGGCAAAGAGTTTGATAATAAACAGTGTTGGCCAGGATATAGGGAAACAGCCATCCTCACACACTATCTAGTGGGAATAAGAAATGGTACAGTCACTTTGGAAACAAGTTGGCAACATTTATAAACATTTTTAAAGCAGATAATCATTAGTCTTACAATTTCACTTTTAGTTAGTAAATCTACACATATACTTAATCCACATATGCAAAAAAGTACAAAGACATTCACAGCATCATTTTTTTCTAACAGCAAAATACTAGAATCAATTTAAGTGTACATCAATAGAGGATTGGTTAAATAAATAAATAAATAAATATCCATACAATGGAATACTAAACATCCATGAAAAAGAATGAAAACCACCAATATGTGCTGGTATGGACTGAGCTCCAAGATATATAATTTAGGTTTAAAAAAAAGCAAGATGAAGAACACTGAGTGTATTTATGCTTTTTTTAGAAAAGTAGGATACACACACACACACACACACATTTATATAAGTAAAACCTATTTCTGGAAGAATGTACAAGAAACTTGTTGACTAAAGAAGGGATCTGAGGGGTCTGGGACAGAAAGGAGACTCACTGCCTCTGAACAAACAAATCAAAAGATATTAAGGTGAAGAAACACATAATTCTAAGTAACATTTCAATTACAAGAAAGCTGAAAATGGTTGCATGAATTAAAAACCAAGCAAAAGTGAGTGCTTTACTCATTACTTTTTCTAATTCATTATTTTTGTGTAAGGAACTTCTTTTTAATAAGCTCATTTTAATATTTTTAAAAGGTAAAAATAAACCACCTGGCTGGCTCAGTCAGTAGAGCATGTGACTATTAATCTCAGGGTTGTGAGTTCAAGCCCCAAGTTGGGCACAGAGTTTAATTTTAAAATAAAAGTTAAACAATTTTAAAAAACACATTAAAAGGGAGAAAACTTTTTTTATTTAAAAGAAATACATGACCGAACATATTTTTTTTTTATTTTTAAAAAGAGTTTCCTCTTGTCTACAATGAGAGAATTAAACTTTTTGATCTTTAGACTCCTAGTTGAAGCATTCCTTGGGTGCATGCAAATATCCTCTAACAGGTGAAAACTGCCTCCCAATCTAACAAAAGTTTTTACAAGTGGACCTTAATGTACTCCGCATGTAGGATGAAACTCTAACAATGTTTCTTAGAAAAATGACTAAAACAGAAGATTCCTCCCAGAGGGAACATTCCTAAATGGGGGAGGCATCTAATGAGACAGCCAGTGGCAAAGTTGGGAAGAAACGAATCCTAGCCTCCCAGAGCCCTGGCATTCACCAACCCTCACCTGTCAAAGGTCCTACTCCGGAGCTCTCTGATGAATGTAGGACTTCCGGTCTTCACTGGCTTCCCCTTGTGTGTATCATGCCCTTTCGAAGATACACGGCGTTTTTTCACTAAGCCAGAGAAAGACACAAGACTGAGTCAGAATGGCCATGAGCTATGTAGGGTTCCAAGAGCAAAGGCCTCAGCAGATCCTGCTTCTCTTCCAGTCTAACAACCCCTTGGAGCACCTGAAGTCAACGAGGCCCTCACATACTCAGGAAAACTTCCTGGTGAGGTTGGTGCTTCCTCTGGGAATTCCCTAGGAAGAGAGGGAGGTAAAGCTCTGCAATTCTGCCCTCTCACTGGGGCAGCTGCTAACCTGCTGGGCCTACACAGGCTTTTGCTATTTCCCAAGCGCTCAGACAAAGGCAATCTTCCTTTTAAGCTTCCTTCGTTTTGTCTCACCTCTGGACCACTTTCTCTTGAAAACTCCAAGATGTACTTACTAATGGAGGGCCCATGTAAGACTTCACAGTTGGGGCAGTGGTAGAGGTCAATGTCAGCAGCTTTCTCTTCTTCAACGCCAACACAACTAGAAAAGAGAAAAACAGCCAACGTTTATGGGAATTTTATTTTTCGTAAGGTCAAGAACTGTGCTGTCCAGTATACATAGCTATTTACATTTAAATTAATTCAATAAAATTTTAAATGCTGTCCCTGCATCATCTAGCTACATTTCAAATGCTCAGTAGCCACATGTGGCTAGAGGTTACCGTACTTGGCAGATTATCAAACACTTTCACCAATGCAAAAAGTTATATTGGACCACACTGGTCTACAACAATTATGACAGAGCTAAAAATGTACAGACAGCAAAGCTTCATTAAGACTCAGAATGGGGGTGCGCCTGGGTGGCTCAGTCAGTTAAGCATCCAACATCAGCTCAGGTCATGATCTCACGGTTCGTGAGTCTGAGCTCCACATCGGGTTCTGTGCTGACAGCTCAGAGACTGG